GTGTGTGTGTCTCTGTGTGTGTCTCTGTGTGTGTGTGTGTGTGTGTGTGTCTCTCTGTGTGTGTCTCTGTGTGTGTGTGTGTGTCTCTGTGTGTGCAGGAGTTTGCCTCGGTGTGTGTCCTCTCCACGCTGCAGTCCACTCTCACCCTGTGGTCTCTCCGAGGCCTCAGTCTGCCCATGTACGTCGTGTTCAAGCGCTGCCTCCCGCTCTTCACGCTCAGCATCGGCGTGTGTGTGCTGAAGAACGGCGTGCCGTCCTTCGGGGTGGTGACCGCCGTGATCATCACCACCGGGGGAGCTGCACTCGCTGGTGAGACTTTCTTCATTAATACAAGAAACACAAACTGTTCTCTCCGTCATCAAACCGTCATCAGGGGTTCAGGGGGCGGGGTTTATAACCTGTACCTATACCAGCCACTGGGGGGCGTTCCAGATGTTTTGACTTCACTGTAGCGAGCTGCCATGTCGTCCGTCCTGCTGACGAACGTCTTCACGCTCTTTTAGCTCTGGTTTGGTCTCTGCAGGTTTTAAACCTAATGTACGCTAACTGGACGCTAACGTTATCGCCAGCTGTTTGATGTGGGCGGGGCTGGTGAGAATAAAATCGGGGAGGTTCGTTCACGCGTTAAGTTTCATGAATGTTTTCTTTGGCGGTGAAGAGGTCGTTAGCGATGCTAGCTTCTAGCTGTAGGAAAGACCGTGTTGGTCTGTCTGCGAGTTACGGTCGTATAAATATCTTCAATAATGAAATAATACAAATATCTTAATATCAAAAGTTTGATGCCCTGAATTCCCTCTAGCACCACCATGAGGTGGTTTACAAGAAATTCCCACAGATGTTACATTCTTCTGATTTCCTTACGTTGCCTCTGGCGCCACCTACAGGTCAAACTCTTCGCTCAGTAAAATGTGTATTTCATACTTTTTCTGTCAAATCTTTCGAAATAATATTTGTTCGACGACATTACTCAACATTTTTATAATCGCTCTCTGTGAACATTAAGGTTAAATAAGAATTCTGATAAGTTTGTGTCCTGAAGCTTGTTTCTATCAACATTTAGATTAAACTACGATCTTTCTCTCCCCAAAGAGAAAATGAATTTATCCACTCACTTGAGTCTCAATATGTTTTGTCCTGTGAAAAATAAAGATGATTATCAACCAGATTAAATCCCGAAGAATCCGCTCATTAGTTTCATATTCTGCACATTTCACACGTAACGTTTCCTGCAGAGGATTCAGGGAATCAATCATCTGTATTTTTTATGACTCCAGCATCATTAACAGTAATGGACAAGAAAAAAAAACCACTGCTGGGGAAAGATGATGAAAGTATTAATTTAACAGTTTAACAGTTTTACAAATGAAGAAAAGCTGAAAAAGCTGTTAAAGGTCATTAAAACAGATGTGAAAAGAACGATGAGGAGAGATGGAGACGCTGCGACGACAGAGAAAGAGTTTGGATAAAATAAATCATGTGAGGCTGCACCGGAGCTAAATGCTAACATGCTAATTTACAGCGGAGCCCTGAAGGGGGCGTCATCACTGCTGGAGGTCAAATCATCTTATTTTAAACACACTCCTTTTTTAAATTATTGTTATTTTCATATTGACTCATAATTTGTCTGAATATAAAATATGAATATCTGTATGACCAATTAAATTAATGAGCAAATCATCAAGAACCAGAGGAAGTGGATTTAATTTATAAATTATAAATGATGTGGGTTTTTACTTCTGGAATAAGTTTCTCACTGATCTGTGAAAAATCAAGAAGAAATTCCCTGAAGACAGACTTCGTGTTCAAGAGGCCAAAAACATGTTTTCAGCATGGCTACGGTCGTGACCTTTGACCTTTGACCACCCAAATATAAAATATGAGTATTAGGAAAAGATGGTTCCTGATTTGGACTCTGCTTTGTGAGGGACAACGACATTGACCTTTGACCCCCAAAATGAAATGGATTCATCCCTGAATCCAACTGAATGTTTGGAACACATTTAAAGAAATTCCCTCGAGGTGTTCTTGAGTTATTGTGTTCACAAGAATTCAAGTTCTTTAACTGAACTTCCTCTTGGTTCTGCTGCAGGTGCTGGCGATCTCACCGGCGACCCCTTCGGATACATCACCGGTGTGTTGGCGGTGATCATCCACGCCTCCTACCTGGTGCTGATCCAGAAAACCAGCCTGGACAGCGAGTACGGTCCGCTCACTGCGCAGTACGCCATCGCCATCATGGCCACGCCGGTAAGGACTGTCGAGCAGCGGAAGTTTTAAACGTTCTCGCCATCGTCTGCTCCTCCTGTCTCCTCAGGTTCTTTCTTTTCTTTCATTCCTCCTTTTCTCTCTGTTCCTTTTCATCGTCTCTCAACCTCTTGTCTCCTCCTCCGCTCGCTCCTGTGTTTGACTCCTCTCTGGCTTCAGTTTAAAGTTGCCCTGTACAGTTTTCTTGTCAACACAAAGCACATTGTGTCCTGGAGCTTTAACAAACTTGTTGAATGAATTTCCTTCAAGTTTACTTTCTGTCTTTCTGATTAACGACGTTCCGCTTGTTCCCATTGAACCAAAACTGTTCCAGAACGACCACTTTGTCGTCTTTATTCCTTCTTCACCCTCGACCTGATCTTTAGTTGTGTCTTTTCTGTCTCACCTTTCGTCTTTGTCTCTCTCAGGTGCTGCTGGTGTGTTCCTTCATCTCCATGGATGTCATCAGCATGTGGTCATACGAGGGCTGGAAGGACCCGCACATCACGACCATTTTCATCTTCTGCGTCTTCATCGGCTGTGCCATGAACTTCACCACGCTGCACTGCACTTACATCAACTCTGCCGTCACCACCAGTTTCGTTGGTGTGGTCAAGAGCATCGCCACCATCACCGTCGGCATGCTGGCGTTCAGTGATGTTGCGCCGACCAGGCTGTTCATCGGTGGAGTGGTGGTGAACACCGTCGGCTCCATCACCTACTGCGTGGTCAAATACTTTGAGACGAAGAAGAAGAGCTTGTATGAGGATCTGGAAGAGGCGGGGAAGGATGGCGCGCTGCCTGGAGAGCCTTACCAAGAGAAGCCGCCACTGAACGGTGACGGGCCCGCCGCTGGCAACGGATCTGATGTAGAACAACCACAGTTAGATGGAGCGTTGACCAGCGACAGGAAGGATGAGTCCGCGCCCGCCGGTCTGGTTAACGGACAGGTGTGGACAGGAGACGGCGGTGGAGGAGACGGGGAAGCAGGCGTGAATTCTTGTGTCATGACAGAAAAAGAGGTGGTGGAGATGCAGAGGGAGCACCTCCACAAGGAGAGCTCCACCCCTGGTCAGTCGCTCAGTGACAGCTATGTCGGGGTGTGGAGGTCGATCAGACATCTGCAGTTCATGAAGAAAGAACCTTTGATTGATAACATGGAGCAGCAGAGTCCGTAAGAGCCGGACAGAGACCTGGACACACTCTGGAAAGAAAAACTGGTCAAGAATTGGAAAATATAAAAAGTTGAACTTGCTGAAGAAACCAGAGGAGAAGAAAATGAGGAGGGCAGAATAACACAACAGTAAACCGAACCAGCGGCAACCTCTTTTATCAGCATTAAATTAAATTACCTCAGTGAAAGCCAACGTTTTCGTGCTTAAAGTTCAGCGTCATCACTCGGAGCTCTGAGCGCAAATCCTGTCTCTCGGCTTCGTTGGGAGCAGCAACAGACGAAGTTCATGATGAGAGTGAAAAGAGGTTCGTGGTGGAGAAAAGTGGATGAAGAGTTCTGGGAGAAGCTGCCTGTCAGAGATAAATTCTGCTTCCTGTCTCCCTCAGCTCGGTGGCGTGTGGCGGGGGAACGAGCTCGCCACCGTGTAGCATGATTTGGTTTGGTTTGCATCCCGAACGATTAAGACGGCTAGCCAAACAAAACGAGCGCATCTTGTGCAAAGTGAAATATCACATCCATTCAGGGATTAGCAAACCAAACAGGAGACACCTGAACGTTCGGTTTTTGTTTGATTGAAACCTGGCCGAATTCTTGTTTCTGATTGGCTGTGAGGTGTGAACGGAAACCTTTAACGTGGTTCAGGTCAAGTTCAGTCGCTTGTAAAATCCTCCGTCGGCTGTGTTTCCGTGAGTCTGATTGTGTGTGTCCAACCCTGCAGGTCTGTCGGTCGTGTGTGTGTCAGCCGCTGGATGACGTCTCCACTTTCTCTCACTCGACAGAAATTAAACCAAAATATATCGGATATGGGCGCCGCCATCTTGTGCCTGTGTCATCATTCATAGTCAGTGTCAGCTGTCAATCATGACGCCTCAGCCTGATTTCCAAATAAATTGTTTATTTACACAAGTGTGATAAGAATGACGGAAAATGACAGAAGGGTCGTGACTCTATCAAAAGTTTAAAAGACACCAACAACAGCAATCCCCCCCAAATGTGTCCGGTTAAATCTGGCCAAAAGGAAGGCGGGGTGTCCCCGTCCAATTAAATCAACATCAGGGTCCGTAGGGGACGAGTGTGTGGGGGCGGGGAGTCTGAAAGAATTACGTTTTCACGTCCGGCTGGAGTCGAGTCTGCTCCATGTGGGCGTCAACACGTGGACACACACATTAAATTAATGGTCACGTCTGTTCCGATGAATTCAACGTTAGAGTTCAAATTAAAGTTAGTTTAGGAAATTTCTTCTTCTGTGAAATATCTGAACTTTACACGGATTCAATCTTTGTTGTTTTAAGATTCGGTGGATTCGAAGATTCAACTCTTCATTATTCAATTTAACAAAATGTCACAAGTGTCCAGGCGGAGATTAGCATTCACTTTGTCAGATCCTCTCTATCACCCCCTGGTGGCTGGCTGCAGTTTACATTATAAACCCCGCCTCCTCCATGTTAGCAGATGGGCTGAAACACACTGATGTGGGTGGGACCTCGATACCACGGCTCGGCTTGAAAGTGCAGAATCTTCTTTTCAGCAGAAATGATGGTGTTGAAAGTAGAAAACTACCCAGATTACACACAAGTATCATAAACATCTGTGAACTCGACATGTTTGGACCATTGACAGTTAAGAGTAAAAGAGGTAACGGTGTGTTGTGTACTTGCTGTGACTCGCGTCTCCGTCCACAGCTTCCACACAGGAAACGTTCATCTTCACTTCTCCTTCCAGTCGTCTCTGTCACAAAGACAAAGCTTCAGGGTCTGAGTTGTGTCGAGTGAAAGAAGCTGTCGGCCGCTGATATGGACTGAAATCGATTTCTCTTCTCACAGTCCCCAAACTTCATTTAACGCTACATGAGCTGTGACGTGGCCTCGAGCTGCAGCGCAGCGTGTGGACTCTGCTTTAGACACTAACACTAGAAATGTCTCTGCTGAAGCGTGACGTGTTTCAGATGTGTTTGTGGGTGATAATGAGTCAGTGGCCGCCGCCGTGCTCGATGTCGATATGAGATGTTCGACAGAGGTGAAGCCTCCGCGATGGGAAAACACAAACTATTACAACCTTTAACTTCTGAATTCAGATTCAGCTTTATTTGTCACCGACATAAAACACGTTAGAGCGTAAACGAGGGATCAGGTCACGTTTTAAACACAGAGACAAATGATCCACGTAACAGAAACACACACAATCATAGAGAGCAGGTCACGTAACACACACGCTAAGAAACAAGAATTCTCAGGTTGGATTTATTTTTTCGATGATGTGTATTTTTCTTTTCTTCATTTCTTTGCACGTGAACTTATTGTCGGCTGTGTTGTGAGTCCGTGTTGTTCCTGAAAATAAAAGAAATCTGTCTGCTGAAGGCAACGAAACATCTGCTCGTCAATTTGCATGTTCAATGCAAAGTAAATTGAAAATGTTTTATAAAGAAAACTGTGCACTGGAATATCTATTGTGCTGTGTGTGTGTGTGTGTGTGTGTTTATAAAGGTGTTTCCATGGTGATGATGATGGTGTGTCCATCAGCGGACAGACGAGTGTTGAGGCGTCAGATTATTGTATTAATACGTTTCTCTCGCTGTGTGAAGCTGAAACGTTTCCACCGCAGGTTGTTCTGTTGTGATTATTTAAATTTGCTCCTGTTTGATTCCTGACGTCAGAATTTGACATAAACATTTAAATACTTTGTCGTTCAATCGTTTCTTTGATTATGTCCATTCACAACCTCTGATTTATTATTTTCAGCTGCTGTAGGTGGAACACAGAGAAACAACAAGTTCAAGGATCCAGAAACAGAAACCTGAGTTTTGTTGTTTTGAAATAAAATGTTTTTGTGAACGAGGCTCGAACTCAGAGGAGCAGGTTTGTTGTCCTGCATCAATGTGCACAGAGGTTATGAACGTTATACATTTAAAACATGTGACGTGTGTTTTGGTGGCTTTCCTCTATTGTTGGTCAGCGAAGCGCTAAGAATCCTGGGATATGTTGGGCTGAGGAGGCTCCACCTTCATTGGTCGGACGCATGTGAAGGAAACAGGACAGATGTTCGGTTGTGAACTCGATGTCTCCAGAACGTCTCGAAGGAGTTTCTCCAAATGTTGTGTAAATGTTCAGTTGGAGTCAAGGATGATTAAAATGAATTGGTCAGAGGTCAAAGGTCAGTGTGACCTCCCCACCACAGGAGGTGACCGTCTGTCAGCTCTGAGCCTCTAACGTGAGTGGAGAGTGTAGAAAGTAAAGAAACACAAATGAACCTGGAGGAAAATCAGAGAAGAAAACATGTGAATGTGACGTTCAGAGGAAACGATGTCGAGAGGCTGCGTTTTACAGAATAAAGAGCTGCAAGGTTCAAAAACGAAAGAGTCAACACGACGCAGAGAAACTTCAAACATGATTAAAGTGGAGCAGCGAGAAAAAGACCCAGAGCTCCGTTTGTTTCTAAAGACGACGCGTGAAACACGAAGGAATGAAAAGTGAACAGAAAGAAGATCGAAGCCTCAGAACATGAACTCGTTCCTCACAAAGAAAAACTGAACAAAAACAAAGAGATTTTATTTTTTTATTTTTCAAAACTGTCAAACTCAGTACAGAACATTATTCTGTACCACAACACGTATTATATACCTCGCCTCCTCCATGTTATCAGATGGGACATGGACCAAACTAAAACTCAAAGTAAACATTAATTTAATGTTTGTCAGAGACGCTGGTGAAACTAAATCTGAATCCATGAGAACGTTCGGAGGTCGTGAACAGAAACGTCTGAAGCAAAATGCAGGAAAACAGGAAATGAAAAGACGCAGCAAAGATTTCATCATAAAAATAAAGAATTCAAGAGGAAACAAAAAGTGTGTTTGTGATTCTAGTTTATTTGTGTTTGTCAGTGTTGATCAGCACTTTTCACTGATGTGTGTGTGTGTGTGTGCGTGTGTGTGTGTTTGTGTGTGTGTGTGCATGTGTGTGTGTGTGTGAGGACGAGATGATGTTTCCTGAACTCGTCTCAGACTCATTAATTCGACTCTAATCTCGTGTCACAAGGTTGAAAGACTTCACATAAAAATCCTCTATTAGTTTGATCTGAAACTTTAAAAATCCTGTTTCCTCGTTCCGTTATTTCTCCGTCGTGCTTCATCTTTTCTTTTTCTTGGAACTGAGAATCACTCGGTTTTGAAATCTCCTGTGTGTCGGAGGAGGAATTCAATCCTCTTATGTCCTCTGCTGATTATATTTTCAGTTTGACACCTCTGACCCCTGCTCATTAAAGAAAGATTATTCCAGGATTGTAAAAGACTGAAAACANAAAAAAAAAAAAATGCAGACTTCGTACAGAAAAATTAAATACATGCATACATACATACAATACAGTGCCATGCAAACAGTCTATTTTCGGGAGGTAAATTATTTAAGATCTGCATTTCTTTCCCATTTTTCAAAGATTTCATGCCTTTTTGCTATACATACATGACATGGCTTTTACATAACGTGACGCTCACTGCAGCTGCTTCAGGAAGTAGCTTGCCATAAACGCCTTAATACTAAGTAGGGCATCGTCTGATGAAAGATAAAGTTCTTGACAATTCAACACTTTACTGTCTTACTTCGCAATAACAGGAAATTATTCTTTTAACCTTTATTTCTCATTATTTTACTGATTTCTTTCCAAATAAGAAGGTTTATCAGTCATTTTTATATTTAAAGTACAGTAGATGCAACATGAAGAGTTGTCTCCATCTAGTGGCTGTGGGGTGGAAATGCACTGACAATATTTAAATCAGAAGGTAGTGAGACAGCGCCACCTACAGGACACTTAGTTTCACTGCAGCATCAGTTTTTAAACGACAGAAGAGTCTCTCGGAGCGTTTCCCTCTGAACCACTGCAGCTCATCTCAACTGTCTCTTGATTAAACCTCGTTTTACTTTGACTCCTGATACAAAACTTCAGTCGACTCTTTAACTTCCTACTTTAAACCAGCAGCTTCTTAAAGTGAAGGAGAAGGTTTCCTCCTTCGTTCCCTGAACGTCTCCTCAACTGACACATGAAACCTACCCAAAAGGTGCGTCACCACATGAGGCTGCAGGGGGCGCTGTTGATCAGCACCAGTTACAGAGTGCTGCTTTAAATCTTAATTTGGATGTAAACAAACTAAAGAGAAATAAATCAGGTCGAATGTCAGAAACGACTTGACTGGAGTCTTTGTGTTTGTGGAAGTGATTTGATCGATGAGCACAGAAACAAACTTTTGATTCATCGCTGGTGTTTACGCTCGACAGCTTGAATCCAAATCTTTATTTAAACTGTAAAACACAGTCAGTTTTATTTGTCCGTCCTGATCTGGTGAAACTCTTCAGCTGCAGCAGTTTGGACAAACTGAACGTTTTCACCTTTAACAAAAGGTTCTCACACACACACACACACACACACACGCTCACACACACTCTGATGGTTGAAACTTTAGCTGGAGTTCTTGCCGTTCTTCTTCTTCTTCTTCTTCGGGGCCTGTTTCTTGGAGGAGTCTTTGTTGGAGGCGGCGGTCGTGTTTCCAGACGGAGACTCTGAGGTTGTTGCTTCTTCTGTCGCCTGCACAGGTTCATCAGCTTTGACCTCAGCAGGCGTCTTCAACATTTCAGCCTCTGGTTCTGTCGCAGGAGGATTCTCAACCTTCTCATCTGCTGCTGCTGGTTCCTGTGCAGAAAGCTTCTCCTCCTCTGGTTTGACCTCGACTTCTCCAGGTGCGGACACATCTGGTTTTTGAACCACCTCCACTCCAACATCAGCATCTGCCGCCTCTGATTTCACATCCACCTCCTGCTCGGCGCCTGAAACCGGCTCCTGTTGAACCTGAGTTTTGGTTTTGAAATGAATAAACGCAGAAGCCAACGCGTCGTCATTGAGGTCAATATCTCCTGGTTCCTCGTCGACGTCGGCAGGTGCGGCGAACAGGGAGTTGGCGAACTCCTGCAGCTTGGCCTGCTCCTGTCTGAGACGAGCCATGTCCTCTGTGAGCACCGGGTCGTCCTCCTGCAGCTCCACAGGAGTCAGGAGGACGGGTTTGTCCGCGGCCTCCGGGGGGTTAGAGCTGCTGAACAGCTTCAGCGGCAGCTCCGAGTTAGACTGACGGATGTCTTTGATTTTTTCATAGAGCACTTTCCTCTCCTCCTGCAGAGCACGACACAGTCTCTCCAGTTTGTGGATCGTCACGACGAACTGCTCGTACTCTTTGGCTTTCTCTGTCCTCTGAAACACAAGAGGGTCGGACAGACGAAGACAGTGAGACGTGAGGAGGATCAAATCAGATCAGTGGTTTATTCTGTCTTTGGGCTTAAAATGCAAAAATGTTCCACACTCTAAAAAAAGTCTTTGTCTCTCTTTTGAAATATTAAATTGAATTTTAAATCTGTGTCTGTCACTTGATTCAACATTTGACATTTGTCTCTTTAGTTTTCAGTTGAGTTTAAGAGCTGAGGAGGAGACCTCACCTCTTCCATCATGTCCGTCAGAGCCTTGTTGCAGTTCTCAAACCTCGTCTTCCACACGTTGGACTCTTTCTCCATGATCTTCATCTTGTCTGACATCTACAGGACGAAGAGTCAACAGAACCAACGTCAGACAAACGTTCTGTCGGGACGAGAAACTCAAACACAGACTCGTCTGCACTTACGTTCTCCATCTCCTTTTTAAAGCGCACGTAGATTTCGTTGCTTTTGGCCAAAGTCGTCTGGAACTCATCAAACTTCTGGGCGTAGAGCGTCAGCTGTAAACAAACAACAAATCAAATAATTAAATTATTATTATCCCTGTTTTCAATGAAGAGCTGCTACATGAACTTCAGTCAAATACATGGAACTGAACCAGTCGCTCAAAAACTAAAAGTGATCTTTTATTATTTCTAAACTCTACAGACTCACTTTAGAGAACAAGAGTCACGTGTTGGATAATGACCAGACGTCTGTGTGATAAATTACAAATACAGTCGTTCCCTCTTCTGCTCTCACTCTGTCCTCTGCTCTCACTCTGTC